AAAATGTTCGCTATGTTTCAGCAAGATATTGGAGACATAAATACAAAAGTGCTTTGAAAGCATATCAAACGATATCTAATACTAAAACCTAACTTGTTGCCAGTAACCAAAGTAACACCTAAAATAAACAAGGAAAATGTTAGAGTTACCCAGGTTCACGGGTCGATGGAGGGGAAAAAAATATTGGAAACGGTTTCTTCAATCAAGGAAGACAAAGCCAAAAAGGATAAAGCTAATAAAGAAAAGAAATCCAAGCAACAACAACAAATTGAGGCATTCTATAAATGTAAGGAAGAATGTACCTGTGGAAAGAATGTTTGTGCAGCAACTAAGGTTCGAGAATGCTCGTGTTGCCATAATGTTTTGAAATCTACATGTAGTAAAGCATCATGTCAAAGTGAAACAGGCTTAAAACCAAATATGATTAAATCATTTTGTGAAATAGGACCCAAAAAAATGCCTTCAGTTTGAGTCTGATGAAGATAGCGTTGAAGACTTTATTCCTACAGCTGATTTTATCCAGAATACAACGTAGAATTCTCTATTTGCTGATATTTGATTGAAGTTTACCAGGATCTTATTTTTATATTTTTTGTTCATAAAATTTCTTTTAAGTTTGTTAATGTTATTTAAAAAAAATCATCAAAAGTAATCACTGAAGTTTGTTATATAATTTTTGATTTGGTACCTGAAAACGTTAGGTGCAGCACCTCAAAATGCTAGATATTTTAAAAAACGATTTAAAGAAAATTGGATTTGTTCTGTGCCCTCATCTTTTTAGCACTGTTTTTGGAGTCTTAAGGCAACATTTCTTATAAGGTTCTGCAAACTTATTTTTAGATGGGCTTGAAATGTTTGAAATTATTGTTAAAAAAAAGTGTTAAAAGCTTGTAGATTTTTTTCAACGTCTTTATGATTATAATTTAGAAATCAATCAACGTCTTTGTATTTATTTTTTTAAGTATTAAATGTAATATTTTTTTATTTATGATTTAACATCATATTCTTTATTCAGATTATTCAACGCTTTCAGAGTTTATTTTAAAATATCGAGTTCTATGTTGGTTTATTACTAACCTGACATTCTGAGGTCTCACTGCATTCTGAGGTCCTTTTACCTGTATATCATATCCAAACGAAGCTTTAGCAAAAATAGAATTTTGGCGGTATATTATGTTTATATTATGTTTATATTATGTTTAATTAAATTTATTTTATTTGTCTAAGGTTTATATTGTATTTGATTTTAATGGTATTTTTATTTATCGATGAGAATGTTTTCAAACGTCAATTGCTTATACATATTTTATTGACCGTTCTAGTGGATTTTTCGGTATCAATCCTAAAAAAGGAAGCAAATCAAGGGAAACAAAGAAGACTTTATCAATAAGCAAAATTGTGCTGTCAATACTGCAGAAGTTTGCGAAATTTAATAATATTTGAATGTACCACGTAGTTAAAAACAATTTATTATGTAGTTATTGAAGTTTGCGTTTTTTTTTAAACTTATTTATATTCATTTAAATTATCTGAGTTACTATTTTTATTTGTGAACATGTAAATAATGTAAAACTAAAAAGATTTTTAAAAATATGACGTGTTTTTGTTGCCATTAACATATAAACAAGCATATATGTTGATAGATACTTATAATTGAAAATACAATTGAAATGTAATTGAAATAAATGAAAAAAAAAAAAAGATAAAATGAAATGAGAGACTTCTTTTAAAAATAGTAAAAATATATTTTGTATCGATTTATATTGTACAATATGTGTTTTGCAATAAATGAACGAGGCATTTCTGTAAATTAATCATGGTACTATATTGTATTTCATACGGTTTCATTACAGAATAATCACGATATTCTACCGTAAAATAACATTTTACCGTGATATAATCACCGTACAATACCGGCAATTATTGGTAACGGTATAGTACTGTGATTTTCACGGTAAAGTTTTACAGTGTAGTGTTTATAAATGATTTAAATTTAGCAACAGACTTCTCAACTTGTATTCTTTTTGTAGATGACTCCAATCTTTTTTCTTCCCACAGAGATATTAAAACACTTTTTGAAACAGTTAACAAACAGTTGGGTAAAGTTAATTAGTGGTTTATAAGTAATAAACTCTGTCTAAATGTGGATAAATCCAAATTTATTTTATTCCATAAAATAAATAAATTAAAAAATATTCTTATTAAACTGCTAAATCTGATATCATTAACGCTAACATTAAAAGAGAAACTTCAATAAACCTTTTGGGCATAATATTAGATGAACTTTTACGTTGGAGTGAATATATAAAAAGTATTGAGAAAAAAGTATCAAAAAATATTGCCATGATATATAGGGCTAAACCATTTCTAAACAATAAATCTTCAAAAAGTTTATATTTTTCTTTCATTCATTGTTGTTTGATTTATTGTAATATTCCATGGGCAAGTAGAAGTTATACAAAATTAAAAAAATTGTAAACAAAAACACACATGCAGAATATTATTTGGGGCTGATAAAACTGTACCACGCGAGTTAATAGCAGTTGCTTGGAACCTTGTTGGAAGTGAATTAGTTTAGTATTGTTTAGAAAATTTACGGTTTTATCACAGAGGAAGAGCATTTAGAAAGTTCTACGGATGCCAGTAAAGTAAACCGAGGTTCCTTAGGCAAGGTCATAGGACTTTCAAAAGTATACTTAGTATACTTTTCAAAAGTATACTAAGTATTAGGACTGGACTTAAAGATGAACTTGCAGTAGAGATACCCTCGCATACATTAAAATCGAAAATGCTATCTTTATCTTGTTTCTGATTTTCCATTTCAAATTTATAAAAAGTTCTTAAATACCTTATGTTTGATGTTGTGCATGACTGAGAAATTCAGCAAGGTTACATATTTACATAGTGTCATTAGTTTGATTGTAAAATAGTTCCATACTTAGCTTTTCTTTCATTTCGGCAATCAATTTTCAGAAATAAAAACAACAGTTATAACAATAATAATAAAAAATTATTATTATAATATTAATGATAATAATAAAGACAAAAATGAAATATATAAAAATTTTGTTTCCGCACTTTTAGTTCAAGTACCAATAAATTTTTTGATAGGTAGTTATTTTTTATATTTACTTTTTGCGAATGTTCAACACTTACTTCTATAAGGAGAGCATCCATAAAGTATATACGCAGTATATACTTTATGGATGCCACTGATTTAGGACTCCTTTGTACGCATTTGTATGCTTTAAACAGCCCTTCTCCCTTTCTGAGCACGTACGCATTAATTATTACAAAATTAATCCCCCTTTCCCTAGCACATAAGTTTTTCCAAACATTAAAAAAAATTTTTTTAATTGATTCGACGTATCTACGTTAAATAACATATCGATTTTGACTTGTGAATTAAAAAAAATAAAAATTCAAGTTTTAGGCAGGGGCGAATCCAGCATTTTTTGATCTTTGGGATAGCTAACTTCCAGACATGGAGCAAACTACAAACATTTATATGTTTATACTTTTGTCAAATAAGGATTCTTTACAAAAAATTACAATTATTGGAGTTTCATAGCATAATCTCAAATTGAGGGGGATTCAAACTTTATATGGTCATAATTTTTGAATGCTAAAATATTTTACTATGAAATTTAAAATTTATCGATGAATATTAGTCTAGTTAAGAATAGTACAAAAAACATTGTATCAACTTGTTGCACTCACGTTTAAGCCAGGGGAGAAGGGACAAAAATTTTGGGGCTTTTTTGTTCCCAGGCTCCAATCATCGCAATTTTTTGCAAAGCATCCTTATTTGAAGTATAAACATATAAATGTTTGGAGCTTGCTCCTTTTCTGGAAGTTAGTTATCTCAAAGACCAAAAAATGCTGGATCCGCCCCTGGTTTTAGGGGAGAATTTGACATACTCGTACTAAATAAACATAAGAAAAAGACTTAAGGAAACTCTAATTTTTCTGTTTAAAACATAAGTAGGAGATCATTTGCTTATTTGAACTTGAACTTTACTATTTAAACAGAAGTAGGAGATCATTTGCTTATTTTAATTTGAACTTTATTTATAATGATAACAACAAAGAGTTATCGAAACCATTTAAAACATTGTTTTACTTTTTTTAATCAAACTAAAAACATTTGAAAATTATTATTTATTTTATATAATATACAAAGTATAAGACACTTTACAAAGTAAGAGGAGACCTGAAAATAGAAATCATATCATGTAAATAGAAAAACACCAAAAATTTGAAATTACAATTAGAAAAACTTGAATAAATCCTTATAAAAAAATGGAAAAACCAAATAAACAGAAAACAAAACTTTCTCAAGTCTACCAAGTTTCCGAAGCTAAAAGAAACAAAGTTTTACAACTTGCTGTAAAAAATTGCAAAATGTAAGAACTTAAGTTAATAAAAAAGTATCTAGAACCCAATCTTTATTATCTTTGTTAATCTTTATTATATTTTAAATAAATTAATCTGGAGTAAAGTTTCTAAAATAAAGAAAAATCCAAAATCTTTTTTATTTTTTAGCTTTCAAAAATTATTTGAATTTAAAGCGTCAAAATCACTAAGTTAAAATTATCAAATAAAAAAAAAAGTAAACAAATTATGGTGGTAAATAAATGCACATTATATATACATACGCATATATAAAGTGTGTATATATATATATATATATATATATATATATATATATATATATATATAGAGTGCTCGAAGTGAAGAAAAAAAAGTGACGGGATGGTATTCAGCAGTTTTAAAATACCATCCCATTATTATACCCTAATCATTGTTATATAGAGAGATTTATAAAAAGGTGGCAAGATGGTTTATATTTTATAAAAAGGTGACGGGATGGCATCCTGCCTCACTTCGAGCACTATATATATATATATATATATATATATATATATATATATATATATATATATATATATATATATATATATATATATATATATATATATATATATATATATATATATATATATATATATATATATATTGATAGTGATCTATATAAATAGGTAAAATTGTTAAGTAAAACAAAAATTTGTTCACTTTTCAACGGTTTTAAACAGAAGAAATCTGTATATACTTAGGTAGTAGGTATCACATTTCATTCAAGTATAAAAAGTTGATGAAAATTACCAAACAATAGTTTAATTACAAATGAGCTAGAACTGGACCCAACCACTTCCATTGTTCGGCACACTAAAGAAAAAGCACTTTAAAGATTAAGTATAAAAATTCAATATTTACATTCACAAGTGAAATAAATTGTTAGAAAAAAAATTGTTTGAAAATACAATTTTAGAAAACTTATAGAAAATAAATATATTTTTGTTGTACTTCACTCAAAACATTTTTATGAAAGCAAAGTACAGCTTTTTTTATTCAACATCTTCAATAAAGTAAGAAGTAATAAATATATATAAATTATATATTATAACAAATTAACAAAAATACAACAAAAAAGTCGGACAATTATAAAATTAAAAAAACAAACTTTTTTTTCATTTTTTTTTTTCTGTCTATATAAGGGATATATAAGGGATCGTCCATAAATTATGTAACGCGAAATTTTTCCATCGCAGAGTCTTTAATTAAACCAAGTATATAAACAATCTTTCAAGTCCAGCGAAAAGCGCCGGGCAAAAGAGTAAAATGACCTCCTATTTACATTTTTAAAATAAGTTTTCCGTTGCGTAAATTATAGACGATCCCTAAGGACTCAAGGACTTACCACTTCAAAACTATTTTAATAATTTTAAATAAACTTGTATTTTTTAAAAAAATATGTTTTTGCATTACTTTGTATCTTTTTTCTGTGTATTTGTAAAAGAAGCAAAATCGCCCCAGTCATTCGAATTCATAGGCTGCTGTGACTGAGGTTTTGAACTCTGTATTGGCTGCTGTGGTTTTGATGTCTTGTCTGAAACAAAGCTAGCTGTTTGTGAAGGTGGTGCTATTTTTGGAATTCCAGGTGCCATTGGAAATGAACTGCTATTGTTTCCTTATAAATATCATAACAAATTAAATAAAGAAGATACTTTAAACATTGATGTCACTTAAAAAAGATTCTCTGATTTATTATATTTAATATTTGCATATAAATTATTTTCAACAATAAATAATTTAATAGATATAAATATTAAATTAATTTAAAATTAATAAACATTTTAATGAAATGTAATTGTTATTTTCTTTTATTTGAAGTTAAAAACCTTATTAAACCAAGTTGCAATATAAAAATATATAAATCTTTCTGATATTGTAACTGTATATTTAAATAAAATCACATAAATACTTATATTACTTTAAAATACATGTAATTAATTACATGCATTGCAAATTGAGGTGCATACAGATAAATTGATTACATGCATTGCGAATTGAGGTGCATACAGATAAATTGATTACATGCATTGCAAATTGAGGTACATACAGATAAATTAGAAATCAAACATAAAAATTCTAAACATGAAAAATTGATTACGCAAAGCATTACCTATTATCATTCTTTACCTAAACTAGGTAAAAGTCATGTAATAGATGTCATGCTTAATGTCACCACATCACCAGGTTAGGTAAAATAAAAGTAAAATGATGTGTTTATTAAGGTGATGCCTATATGATATCCACTTTGTTGCCATATGTTATAACAAAAAACAGAGACATTTGAGATATAATATAGCAATATGATATTATGAGAAAATCTGAGGGGAAAAAAAAGGAGAAAAATATTTACCTATCTAATACACCTTAGATAACCTTAGATGCACCTCAGATACACCTTAGATGCACCTTTTATACCTATGTATAAAAGGTGTAAGTGGTAGTGTAGGTGAAACATAATTCACATAAATTTAGACAATAAAAAGATATTAGTTTAAATAACTATGATGCGAAATTTTCTAGCATAAATATTCAAATAAGGGGCTTTTTGCATAAATATGCACAAAATATGTGATATTTTTAATTTGATTTTCTTATTTTTCATTTAACGTTTCTCAAACAAGCAAGTTACAAATTAATGTGTTTATTATCTTTGTTTAACTATTTATTTTCTAATATTAGAAAAAAAATTAAAAAAAAGTTTTTTGAAAATATTAAATAACCATAATATATAGCTAATTAAAAAATGATTTCTAAAGATTTTTGCAACAGTGTAATAGTAAACAGTGAATATGGAGAATTACTAAAAACAATCCTTTCATAAGCTATTTCTTAAATCTTTTTCATAAGCTATTTCTTAAAATAAAAAACTATATATATATATATATATATATATATATATATATATATATATATATATATATATATATATATATATATATATATATATATATATATATATATATATATATATATATATATATATATATATGTATATATATAAAAAGCACACTAAATAACAATATAACTAATTTTCAAAGGGTACTAAGACAGATCAAAGAGAACAGAGACAAACAAGGATAAGAACTAAGGTAATCAAGGGAAGACAGAGAGGGCCAAGTGAGACTACAGACATAATGCCATCTGGTGGCAGTAAAAATAGGTTATTGCTTTAAATAAAACATGTTTTTTTCATTTTTTAGATCAATCCTTAATTTGTGTTGGAATTCTGTAGCGTGTAGGATGTATTTAATATAGAAAACTCCCACAACTAATAGGAATTCGCCCTTGTTTGTTTTAGTTTATTTGCCCTTAGTTTCCTTTGGTCTTTCCCCAGCCACCTTTTTTTGTCTTGATTTGATTTGGTATCCCTAGATAATAGATATTTTTAAAAGTAAAGAATCTTAAAAATATATAAATACCAATTTTTGGTCGAGATTTCGAATCATCTGCTTTTTTGTTCTAAAATGACAAAATATAATTCTTAATATATATATATATATATATATATATATATATATATATATATATATATATATATATATATATATATATATATATATATATAAAGTCTTATATTTTATAAATCTTTTAACTCCTTTATATAAAGGAGATCATTATAATTAAATCTAATTAGAGTTTTTTTTTTTTGAACTATATACTATTTTTGGAATCATGATAAAAGTTTAAAAAATACCAGTTGATATAATTAAGTTTATATTTCTTGTAGCATAAACATCAGCATAAACATCAGTAAACATCAGAAAACGAGCAAAATGATAATTTTATAATTTTATTTACAACATAATTTTTAAGTAGACAGAATTGCAAAAAAAAATTGGATTGTTATTTTTAAGTTGACAGAAAAGCAAAAAAATGTATTGTTAGCATATAATATTAAAAAAGCTTCTATAAAAACTGAAATATATGGGATTAAGGAAAAAAATTAGGTGACTGAATCTCATCGCTATAAGGTCCAAATGTTAATACTTGCACCAGAATCATGAATACAAAAAAAGATGACAAATTACTTTGAAGTGTCTGAGTATCTTAAATTTAAACAAAAGTTAACTATAAGCAGGAGATTCTATATCATATCAGCGAATTCTATCATTGCATATCAGCGAATTCTATCATTGCATATCAGCGAATTCTATCATTGCATATCAGCGAATTCTATCATTGCATATCAGCGAATTCTATCATTGCATATCAGCGAATTCTATCATTGCATATCAGCGAATTCTATCATTGCATATCAGCGAATTCTATCATTGCATATCAGCGAATTCTATCATTGCATATCAGCGAATTCTATCATTGCATATCAGCGAATTCTATCATTGCATATCAGCGAATTCTATCATTGCATATCAGGGGATTCTATCACTGCATATCAGGGGATTCTATCATTGCATATCAGGGAATTTTATCATTGCATATCAGGGCATTGCCAGGAAAAAATCTCTTATTTAAACTTTAAACTTTATTTCACCAGAAACAAATTAATGATCAACTTTCATCAACGTGTTTTCAAGATGCCAGAAAAAAGATTTTGTTAATATTAAGAAAAAGTAAAAAAGGTTTCTACTATTCAATTTTAATGAGCTACACATTTACACATTGCATTGACACATTGCATTTAAAAAAGATGACTAATGTAAGCTTGTCGGCTTTTGCACTCTAAAACCTAATTAGTGGATTACAACTAATGCATCAAAATAATAAGCACTATGTGTCTATGCATCACCACTATACAAAATTCCTTATTAACGCAATTAGGCGGAAAAAAAGTTATAAGAATTTTGTGCTTTAATTATTTATTTTCTTAAAAATGCAGAATATAGCCTGCGTCAGTGTGACCAATGTCCTGGTATTTAAGCATTAAAAAGTTGTTCAGAGCAAGAGCTTATAGATAATAAACAAGAAGAAGAAGAAGATGTAGCATTTTAGTGCTGATTGAACAACACTGTTATCATTGTCACAAGATCAATTTTATGATTTTTTAATGTGCCAGCATTGAAAAACCTTTGACACATTGCAAAAACACAATGTAGATACTTGAAGAACTATAAAAAAATTTTTAAACATAGTGAATGCCTAATTTAAAGTAAAATTTGAAGTTACCGATTAAGTACAATTGTAAAGACTCTAATTTAAATACTGAATTTAAATACTGGTATTTTTTGCTACCAGCCTTAATTTTTTAATTAACTTTAGTGAATTTCGCTTTATTCCTAATTTAGTGATACAGCGCTCCTTTTTCAAGCAAAAAAGTATCCATATTGTATCCATAAAGTTGTCCACAAGGCAAGTTCATATTATATCTATAAAGAAGTCCACAAGGGAATTTCATATATTTATAAAAAAAACTTTCTTATTCAGCACAACTAAGATAATGTTCATGTAAAATTAAAACTTTGAAAAGTTCATCATTATGGCCTTCTAGAAATACAGGCCTTGACAACGCGTCGAAATTTGTATTGACTGGAGGCCAAGTGAAGTGCTAATAAGTAAAGTGGATGTGGACAAGGAGAGCAAAAAACTATAACAATAACAATATATAAGAGCTATCTTAAAAGTAAAACTAAAAATTAAGTTAATAAACTATAATGTACTTCTTATATAAGATAATAAAATGTAAATAAAAACTCATGTTTATGACAATTTTAAAACTTTTTGCCTGGACTCCTTGGAGCATCTTGGAGATTTTATTACTGCTAGATTTTTAAGAAATATATTTGTTAAAGTGTGACAATGTCAATCATAAATACCAAATTGAAACTTGTTTGATACAGATAAGAATTGCTTAATCAAAAATGTTTGACAAAATTCATCTGATAACTGCTCAAATAAAATGTGCACCATTGAACAATATTGTCAAAGGGAATAACAAGACCTCCTCTATTCAAGTCATCAATGTAGGCACCACATTTTTTATAATAAAATTGTGTATTAGTTTAATCATAGCCATTTTTTCTTTGAACATAACCATCAATATATACAATTGAAAGTAATGATTCTGCTTGAACTTTATCCTCGAGTTCTAGCAAGTTATCAAAAATTTCGCACTCCTGCTCATTTAAACTTTGAAAACAGTGTTTACAGGAATAACCATTGGTACAATCATCAAAACTACCTATTTCTAACTGTAAAGAAAGTTTTGCATGTTGGATTCTAACTTTTTCTATGACAGATTGAGCAGTAATAAAATAGGTTCCTCCAGAACCCTGGCAAAGCTTACTAAAGGTTTTCTCTAATGAAAACTTTTAGTAAGCTAACAAATATAGAAATAAATTTGATGGTGCCAACAACTTTATCTTTTTTAATGGATGGATGATTTTTAAGAGTGGCAACCGTTTCAACACAGAAAACTTGTAAGCAAATCTCGACTTTCTGTCGCTCAATTGGTTTTAGAGAAATGGAAATTTCATTTAATTTAAAAGATTGGCAGACTCTAGCTCGTAAAGATTTACTAAATCACTCCATTTTGCTACATGTTTGTTACCTTCAAACTCAAAAACTAGTTCTCCGCTTTTTTCAGTTAACCAATTATTACGAACACACTTCATGATATGAACATAATCAAACAACAAAAATGTGTTTTCATTATTACCACACCAAGGTTTTTCTTCAACTTTATTCATCATTTTAAAAAACATTTGGTTTACTCTATTTCCATCAGTAATAATTGACAACAGTTTTGCATTGGGTTGATTGTTAATTGTTTCAATAATTAGTTTGCATTGTTTAAAAAGAAAATCAGAATCTAAGTGACTAATTGGAATCATTTTTACTATAAACTCCGGTCCACCAAATAAACATTTTACCATTATAGCTAACATGGTTTTGGCAAGGACACCGGGTTGATCGGCAGAATTTCCAAATAATACACCTCCATGATAAGTTAACGTGGATTTAACATAAACTTCATCAATCAGCAATATACATTTACGCTGTGTACTTTCAATACTCATCATAACATTTTTCAAAAATTCCAGACTATCTTGTGATCCGACTTTTGAAGTGATTCTTGTCAAAGTTCTAATACTGGGTAATTTATAGTCATTAGAAATTTTGCTGTACAGAGACCTGGATATAGCAAAATATTCAAACGCTCGAGTGATTATATCAGAAGAGTAAGTAAATTCACCAACTTTTTTTTAAGACATATAGTCCATATGTTCGAGTAGTACATTTTTTTTATGACAAATATCTTTATTCTTTAAGTAACGTATGATTTCATCAAAAACTGACCAATACTTACAACATGATGTCTTACTTGATATTAAAATGGGAATACTGCAAGATGACCCAAGATGAAACGAAGTTAATGTTAAATCCCTATTAATGATAACTAAAAACTTTGGAATACCACATACAAATTCTTTTGACTGAATGTAAACAACATCATTATTGTCATTTATGTTGTATACAATAAGGTCATTACTACGCAAGAGTTTTTCTTTTATGCTATTAAATCGAAAAAAATCATGTTCCCTAAATCTAGTTCATCTGATTTTGAATTTCTTATAGTGGACGATGACAATTTTGTTGTTCTGGTTTAGAAATAGGTAAACTAAGACAGCTAGCTGGTATGTTGGTGGTTCTGTAGGATGTTCTTTTCCATGATAAATGTAAAAAAAAATGCAATCTATAGGCCATAAAATGTAAAAGATTTGCAATCTATAAGCCAATGAAATCGGCACACCACAGTGTATTTATTTACAATCAGATTTTTTCTTGGGATAGCCTTTATCCACTTTTCTTTTTCGTATTTATCAAGAAAATCAATAAGCGAACACCTTTATAGTTGATGAAGCATAACCACTACTACAGCATGGAACACAAAATTTTCGAGGCATAATTGATAACTTTTTGTTTGATAAATGTGTTGCAATTTACAAAAAGATAAACCTTTTTACTGCTAATTTTTCTCGTTGCTGATTAATTAATGCTACAAAGTAACTTAAAATTTGTGTTTAGACCAATTGCTGTTGAGTATAAACATCGCAAAACAAAAATGTTATACATTCGATGAAAATCTTTCCATATAGAATTGGCCTCCAGTCAAAAAATATTTTATCGAGATGTCAAAGCCTATTTCTAGAAGGCCATGTTCATCATCCATAACCAATTTAGATGCAATATAAAATGTGTCAAACTAAACAAAGAAATATTTACAATAAAAACCTTTCTAGCAAATGAGCAACTCTATGAACATTTTTATATCCAGACTTATTTGAAGTATTTTTTCAGTTTTTGGTTTGAAATATACATTTATATTTTATAAAATTAAGCAAAAAAACTACTTTGCATGACACCTTATTTTATAAAAATTACTTTAAGATACCCTATTTTTGTTGTTAATACACATAAATATCAAAAGATGTTATTTATTGAACTATATGTGTATTTTTAACGGTTAAAAGTAAACTTAAAAAATAACTCAATTCTTACTGATGTCATCATATCAATAAGTACTTTAAAACAAAGTTGATGTTCTAAATAAAGAATAACTTACTCCAAAATTTATTTTTATTGTTTGCCCTTCCTTGAATCCAAGATTAAGCGGAGTGTCTGGTACTGAAGGACTTGTTAAAATGTCATTCTCATTTTTCTCACGCCTTAATACAATAGTAAAACTTTTACAATTATAATGCAAACAATAACAAAGATATAGTGCAAATTACATCAAAGATATTAAACAAATATTAAAGAATATAATAGTATAAATACGATAAAAACTTAAAGAAATAAAAAATTAAAGTAAATAAAATAAATTAAAGTAAATAAAATAAATTAAAGTAAATAAAATAAATAAATAAAACAATATATATATATATATATATATATATATATATATATATATATATATATATATATATACATAGCTAAAAATTTCACGTAATAGCAATCATCAGATGTAACAACAACAAAAAAGTAATGACAAAAATTATATACAAGAAACATTATCTGGTTTAACCCACCTTATTCACTCAACGTCAGAACAAACGTAGCCAAAACATTTTTGAGTACAATTGATAAATGCTTCCCGAAAGGCCACAAATTTCACAACCTTTTTAATTGAAACAACTTAAAAGTTAGTTATAACTGCCTTCCAAACATCCAGAGTATTATTACTTCTCATAATAAAAAGATATTATTTAGTTCTCATGAAAATGCCAATCAATTATGCAATTGTCGACAAACCACCTTACGCCCACTCACTGGAAAATGCCTTACAAAAAATCTTATTTATATTTGCAATGCAAAAACTCACCAGGAAAAAGAAGGATATTATTATGTTGGGCTTACTGAGAAAACGTTCAAAGACAGGTGGTATAAGCATAAAAACTCCTTTGTTTATGAAAGTAAGGCCAACTCCACTGAACTTTCGAAATTTGTGTGGGAATGCAAAAATAAAGGTATAGAACCTATATTAAAATATATTAAAATGGTATATTAAAATGGAATATTCTTGATCAAGCGGAGCCATTCAAACCTGGTGGTAAATTTTGCAATTTATGCTTGACAGAAAATACCACATTATTATGTCACCATTAAACTTGCTTAACAAACGAACCGAGGGAATGCAAAATAAAGGTATAGAACCTATATTAAAATATATTAAAATGGTATATTAAAATGGAATATTCTTTGATCAAGCGGAGCCATTCAAACCTGGTGGTAAATTTTGCAATTTATGCTTGACAGAAAAATACCACATTATTATGTCACCATTAAACTTGCTTAACAAGCGAACCAAGATTGCGTCAAAATGCCGCCATGAAAATAAATTTCTAATAAAGAACTTTAATGTCATCAAAGCGGACACTCTATAGCATTTTTTGTATATAATTTTTGTCGTTACTTTTTTGTTGCTGTTACATCTGATGTAACAGATGCTATCGCTATTGCATGAAACTTTTAGTTATGTAATTAAAATATATCTTAATAATTATTTAGTTTTCACTATATTTGCTCTACTAATTATATAACACGCTGTATTGAGCACTCTTACTGGAAATATTAACATAATTCCTGCAATATATATATATATATATATATATATATATATATATATATATATATATATATATATATATATATATATATATATATATAAAACCAATAGTAACAATATGTATTCTAATATATGTATTCTAATAACTAGTATGTATTACATTTAAGGTAAAAAAAGGGTCTTTGTATTTAATGTCACCAAATTAGTAGCACTTTTTGTAAAAACTATTGAAATAATTAAGAAAACTAGTTACATTTTATTGTTTTTTAAAAAACCACAAAACACAACTTATTAGAATGTTATTTTAATTCAAAATATAATATTTTTTAAAATGTTTTTATAATCAATTTTGTATTAAGGAATTATTTTTCCATTTTCATCAATTTATTAAGGGATTAGCATAGCAGACAAACATCATGACATCACAAATATTGCAACATCACAAACATTGTGACAACACAAACATTGTGACAGCACAAACATCATGACAGCACAAACATCATGACAGCACAAACATCATGACAGCACAAACATTGTGACAGCACAAATATCGACTGACTGAAAAGATCTCAAACTGCCAAATATTATTCAATCATTGTTGACTCAACCACAAGTCTTGCAAGTAAATCAACTTTTTGTCACATTGTGACAGCAGAAAAACATTGTGACAGCACAAACATCGACTGACTTAAAAAGGTAGAACATGCAGGGAGTGTCACGTGTAAATTTGTGGCCTTCTTATTGGCCATTAATATTGTCATTAATTTTTATGATTACTTTTAAGTTACTAAAACAAGCAGAAAACATTAAAAATACTAAAACAATTTTATAATTTATTCAACATGTTTTAAACATAAATTTGCTAACAAATGTTATGTTTACTTTATTGGACATACAACAACCACTTACTTGTATTTTTTAACAGAAATTAATTAAATAGAAATAAACTTACTTATACTAATTAATAGAAAACTATTAACTAATCTAAGTAAAAGGTGTAAAAATTGTTTTAAAAAAATTTATTTTTGCTTTTCTAAACTTTAAAACTCTCATCCTAGTAAAAAAAAATTAAAACTTTTTTTTTATGACAATCAAGATTCTGGAACTAGTAAATTCAAAATTGAATTTACTAGTTCCAGAAAAAAATTATGAGCAAAAAACTAATATAAATGTTTTTTTGGGGGAAGAGTAAATATGTTAATTGCTCACAACTATGAATTAAGATGGGTGTGGCTAAACTAGGATGAGCGCGGCTAAATTAATTAATAACTATTAATTAAATATTTTCTGTGGGTAGAGTAAACATGCTAATTACACAAGTGTATGCATTAAAAAGTTTAAATAAATATGATAGCCTTTACTATATACCATGTGCACAACAAAGTCTAATCACATGGTAGAGGTACAATTACTGTGCTAAGTACAGCATTTGAATTAGTTCTTGTTTCAGCACTTATCAGCTTAGCCCATTGGGGGTTTGTGTTAAACGCCCTTTAAAATTGGTTGGTAACAATGAAAAAATTAATTACACAGTTGGTAATTGTGTCAACCCTGCCAATAACAATCCTCCGCCATTTAAAGTTTACAAATCAATATCACATCTGTAAAAAGACTGGTAATGTAGGGGGACCACCAAACACCGTATTTACAACATTGAAGTCGAGTTAGATGGAAGAGAAACAATTTATACAATAGCTCATTAAATTATTTATATCTGCAATCAAATTAACTCCAGGCGATTAGTTTGGTCTACCTAAACTGAGTAGTTTAATCAGTTAATCAATTAATCAAATAATTTTTTCAATTACAGGCATTCACATTTTAGTCTTGGATGGACATGTCACAGATGTTACTTGCGATGTTGCACATACTTGCATTGACAATAACATCAGACTAATATGTTTACTGGCTCATTTGTCCCACATAAGTCAACCATTAAACATAGGTATATATTGTCAAGCTAAACAAGTTTTGCGCAAACTATTTACAGCTAAAAATTCTTAATTCTTAACTTAACAAAAGAAAATTTCATTCAAATACAAGCAAAACTTTGAAGCTGGTTTTTTGCATGAAAAAATGATGCAGACATGCTTTTGACCATGAAACAACTCAAATTTATTTAATTAATAGTTTCTTTTGTATATTTGATAAAAATAGTTTTATTTGTAAACTTAACTTTTAATAAGATTAGTATTGATTTTATTTTTAATTAATTTAATTTTGAACTAATTTATCAAATAAATATATTTAATTAATTTAATTGTTAATAAAATTTAACAAGTTTACTTTTAAATTATAAAGGGAAAAGTAAACTTTATAAAACTGATTTTTTTAAAAACTTTCAAAAAAATTTTTCTAAAAAAAATATATATTTATAAATGTAAAAAATTCTCTAAAAAACAAAAAAAAACATTTCACTGCCTATCAGTTTTTTCAATACCTGTAACAAAGCCCAATAATTGATTTAAATATTCAGTTAAATAATAATAAAATACTTTCCGAGCAAACATTCTATAGCGGAAATTCAGTGGATCTTTATTGGCATTTTGAGCGGTCCACTATAGTTTTGCTCATCGGTTACTTGGTGGACCATTAGTAGCAGCTGCCAAAATACCACATTTTAGAAAGTTGTTTACTTATAATGGATGTCACTAACGGTCTATTAAATAATTGATGAGCAAAACTTCAATGAACCGCTAACACTGTAAATCTTGTAGAAGTGTTAAGTATTTAGTTAACATTGTAAATCTTGTAGAAGTGTTAAGTATTTAGTTAAAATTGTTAAACTTGTAGAAAAGTTAAGTATTTAGTTAACATTGTAAATCTTGTAGAAGTGTTAAGTATTTAGTTAACATTGTGAATCTTGTAGAAGTGTTAAGTATTTAGTTAACATTGTAAATCTTGTAGAAGTGTTAAGTATTTAGTTAACATTGTAAATCTTGTAGAAGTGTTAAGTATTTAGTTAACATTGTAAATCTTGTAGAAGTGTTAAGTATTTAGTTAACATTGTAAATCTTGTAGAAGTGTTAAGTATTTAGTTAACATTGTTAAACTTGTAGAAGTGTTAAGTATTTAGTTAACATTGTAAATCTTGTAGAAGTGTTAAGTATTTAGTTAACATTGTAAATCTTGTAGAAGTGTTAAGTATTTAGTTAACATTGTAAATCTTGAAGAAGTGTTAATACTTAAGTTAAGTATTTAGTTAAGTAGTTACCAAAGTCTTTTGAAGAAAAAATATTCTTTTTATTCATTAAATGAGTTTTTTTTCGGACTTAATGTTTTAGTTACTATTTATAAAAACAATCGTTTAAAGCACTTTGCATTTCTTATTGTTTAATGATGCATGTTAAAAACTTACTTAATTAAAAAGTGTTTAATTAATTTAATGTTTGTTTAGCTTTCTATTGATATATAGTTTGTTATGCTTTTAAGAGATTTACTATTTGAATTTTAATTAATTGTCAATGTTATGCCATTCAAATTTTATTCAAAAAAATGTGCGGTCAGTACAAAAAGATTTTTGTTCAGTTTAATAAATTATCAAGTCTGCAGATTGCGGCTAACATTATACAGACTCCGAGAACCACAAAAAAATGGAGACAGCGAGCTTCGACTAAAATGTGAATATTAAAATTAATGGTGTGCATTCATTATTTAGTTTTAATCAAAAAATTTAGCCCAAATGTTTTTTTTGAAACATTTTCTTTAATATGAACACAACTTGTCTCGGCAGTTGGGGATCCCTTTAAGGTAGTTCCTATATAATCAAAAAAAGTTATTTCATTAAGTTTAAAAAATATATATTTTCTACCTCCAAGAACACAGGTCAACAAAGAATTTTTATCAGAGCTAATTTTGTGTTGCCTGGATACAATTTTTCATGCTGCTTTCAAAACTGTGATTTCAAAAAAATATTATTATCAGCTTTTTACTTATTTGTTAATAATAATAGACAATAGATAATTGGATAAAAATATCTTTAATAGGATAAAAATATTGTTGTAATCTTTCATCTTTGTTTATTTATCAGTTTAACTAAATTTTCTGGATATTTTTTAGTTAAGTTTTTTCTTCATAAAAATCCGTTGTTTTAAAAATTTTTAACTATTTTTTCTCAATTTTTGTATATATAATGTAAAAAGTTCTTTATATAAAAAAAAAAAAAAATATTTTTTCTTAAAAAAAAAAATTGAATTCAAAGTTAAACTGTTCACTCTTACCCCAGAAAACAAACTAGATAACTATAAAATAAACTGACTCTGATAATGAAATATCAGTAAAACAACGAAACAAAAACTGTTATTAAAAATTATTTAGAATGAAAAAGAAAGATTAACCTACTTAAAATGATCTTGAAGAGCAACATTGAAGTCAAATGAATCTCCCCTGTCTGTAAATCCCATGCCAATAAATGCATGTCTGCCTGAATTTGAAGTAAATTTATTTTATATTATTTAAAAACTGTAAAAACAAATAAAATTTAATAAACAAAATTGCACCACTTTCATCTTGAATTTTGATGACAAAGTATCTACTGCTGTCAGAGACTGCTTCAACAACAGGACCTGGGTACTGATCTATTGGAGCCTGTGCAAAAAGTTCCCCTACAAAAAATTTAAATAATATTTTATTACATTTTAAGTTAAAAAAAAAGTTCAAAACATGTACTCTAAATTCAAAACAACAAAATTGCACTTAAAGTTGAATAACTCCGCTTTGTTTTAGAATTTCAAAATGATTTTTTTAAATAAATAAACTGGAGCTTAAACTGAATGGAACCATATCAGGCAACAAGTATATTAATAATGAAAATGTTGCTCCTTTTTTAATTTGTAAAAGTAAAGCTTTTGTTCGAAATAAGGGACATGTGTTCCATATTCCATATTCATATAATATTGGTTTGAAACATCAAGCAAATTAAAACTTATAATAGTTATTCACAGTCCTTGCATACGAATTGTTTCGTGATAATAAGTTGCATATGAATTCAATTGTTTTGTGATAACAAATAATACAAGGTATAAATAATACAAGCAATTTAAACACTTTTCACATGCAACCCATTTGCTGCTTGTAGCTTTATCTCAAAGGCAGGAATACTATTAATCTGATAGATATTGATCTACAGCTCACGACAGGAAGACAATATTTTGACTAGTAGACATCTTTGTTATTTCTTTAAATTTCTTAGATGATTTCTGGGTTTTGGTGAGTTTTAAAAGCTTTCATATTTTTAACCTTTGTTCTTTGAAAATGGCTGCATTTAGTTTTTTTTCTTGAATAACTTTTTTGTTATTCTAGTTTTCTTTTTTTAGCAGCATGCGTAGCTTCGTTGTGAGTCATTGGAGATAATTCAATCACATCATAACATGTTGTTCTTTTAATTATTTTTCCTTTTTCTTTATTACTTGTAAGAGGCTTCAATTTATCACACTGAGCACTGATTTACTAATATCAAAAAATGCTTGTTTAATGACATAATTGATACTATCCAGTTCGTTGAGCAATATTTCTTTTGTTGAAAGACATAGAATTCATTGAGTTTTTTGCAATTAATCAAATAGTATTATTCAGTGAAACTTGTGAATGGAAAAAATACTTTCCAGAAAAACAATTTTCAATTTTGTCATTTGTTACATCTTGAAAAAAAGCCTTAATTGCATTTTTATGTGGAATTGTTTTTGAACGATTGAGTGGAAATATATCAGTATTTTCGAAACCACATCAGGCCTTATTCTAAATAAAAAATGCTTTACGCATTTGGCTAATGCAAATTTGACATCATAAAATTCTCTTTATTTTTTTATTTTTTAAAGACATTAACTTTTTTAAATTACTTCAATATTAATTACCACAAGATTATGAAAAATTCATTAAAAAACTCAAAAGCGTTTATTAGTTTGTGTCGTAAAAATACCATTATTAAAAATTGTTGTTATTTACTTGTAAAAATACCAACTTTTGCTAAAAAAAATAATACCAAAAAAATTATGCAGAAAAAGTTTTACTTTTTACTGTTCTTACAAAGTATTACTAATTTTTTAAAGATTTTAAGTGTATGATAAATCTGTAATAACCAAGAGATGTTACTTAATCATCATTTATATTAGTAGTGATTATCATACACTCTAAAAAAAGGAGGAAAAAAATTCGCTCAATGGTACTCCTCATGCCAGCAAAATTTGCTGGAAATATTGCCAAATGTAGGCATTTTTTCATAAAAATAACAATATTTGCTGTAAAAAAATGGTCTAGAATAGCCCCTACCTTAGAAAGGTATAATTTTGTACCTTCTATAGTAAAAAATTATATAAAAAAAAACGATTTGTCATATAATTTTATACCTTAAAAAGATAATTTTCTACAATTTATTTTGAATGGCTCTAAAAAAAATTTTTTGAAAAAAAAGTTTGCGCCGACCTAAAATGTCTTTTATCCAATCTATTATATAATCGTTGCAATGTTATTTTATTATAACAAACACAATTTGGGAGATTAAAAAATTTGATAATCAATCACATCATATGATCATCATGACATTGATCAATAAGACTCAGACTAAAATTAATCAATACATCTAACAAGAAATTGTTTTAAAAATTAAAATTTAAAAGTTAACACATTAATTATAGATTAAATATGTTCACATCTAAAAGAGTGAATTTAACACTTTCATCTAAACACATGCTTACTGCTGGACAGGTGGTATTACCTGTGCACAGGGGTGGGCTGGAGCCAGCTCGGTCTGGCTCGCGCAAACCGGTTGTTAAAATTTTTGAAACTTGGTGAGCCGCTTGTTAAATTAACCCTAAAACCAAAAATAAGTCAATTTAATAGTATGTTTATGCAAAATATGCACATCGCACTGATGTGCCACACACTAGCAAACATATCATGCACGCAACACAATACACACATCATGTGCGTACGTAAAATATGAAGTGTAATAAACAAACACTGTTCCAAATCATAAAATATTACAACAAATGAAATGAAGACATGAAAACGAATTCCGGAATTCTTGAAATTCGAATTTCGAGATTCAATTCCTAAGATTATATTTACTTACTTTGTTTACTGAATCGACAATACAAAATACAATTAATTAGTCTAATTGCTAAGGTAAGTAATGTAAGTAAAATTAAATTTTTAGTTTACATAAATAAACAATTGTAAATTATTATTTGTAAACAATATAAATTCTATCATTTAAAAATTGTGTTAATATAATGGCAGTATTTAAAACTTAGATTTTTTAAATTAAAAAATGAAGAGAGTGCAAGGAAATTTATTGTCCTTTGTAAATGTCAAAAAAACAAAACTCAATGAAGAAATACTAGAGAAAACCATAAATTCTGCAGAAATTGAACATATACAATCAATTTCAAATAAAACATCAGCTTCATGTTCATCAGCATCATCTACAATATCATTGGAATCATGCACAGTGTGCAATAGTCAACTACCAGATTGTTGGACAGAAAAACAAGTGAGTTTGTTAACAGAACAATATAAATGGTTAGTGGTAAAAGATGGCAAATTTGGTTGTAAAGACTGTTCAAAAATAAAAACCTTAGGAATAGAAAACAAAAAACATATTTACGTATCAAATGAGTGGATTTCATGTTCAATAATTCCTAATGGAACTAATAAAGATACAAGGCAAGCTTCTCTACGCAAAAAAATTAAAGAACATTCCACTTCATGCTCACATTTAAAAATTCAAGAAACAATTATTCCATCTAACAAACAAGTTTTACCAAATGTAGTTAAAATATTAAATTCTGAAGCAATTAACATTACTGTAAAAATTTTCAACACAGTTTATAGTCTTGTTAAATGAAACAGATCATTGTCTGATATAGAAGCAGCTTTGGAATTACAAGAAAAAAATGGTGTTAATGTAGGAAATTGTTTACATTTCAGACGCACTGCCACTAGAATTGTCGAACATATTGCAATAAATTTTAACAGATTTAAAAAACTGTTTTTAAAAACAATATCAATCAAAATTCAAAAACTTGTATCATAATTGACGAAGCTTCTACACTTGCTAAAAAAAGTACTTTGCTAATATATTTACAGTGTGAAATACAGTCTGCAATTGAACCTCTCATGATTTTTGTAGATTTAAAAGAATTGACGTCAACAACTGCTGAAAATATTTTTATGACCTTAATAGACTGCCTTACTTACTTTGGATTTGATAATAATTATTATTTACAAAGAAATTATAGGATTCTGTTCAGATGGTGCATCGACAATGTTAGGAAGAAAATCTGGAGTAGCCACAAAATTAACTAAAATGTTTCTAAATATAATCGTGTGGCATTGTTTGAACCACCAATTGCAATTGGCACTAAATGATTCCATAAGCGACATTAAAAAAGTAAATCATTTAAAAATATTTTTAGACAAAATATATGCGATATATCATCAGTCAAATAAAAACCAAGCCGAATTGGAAACTATTTCTAGTAATTTGAACCTAGAACTAATAAAAATTGGTCGCGTTTTTGGACCTCATTGGGCATCCTGTAGCTTACGAGCAGCTACTGCTGTGTGGAGAGCATACCCAGCATTGTATAAACATTTTATCCAGTCCAAATCAATTTCAGGAATAGCCAAAAGATTAGCTAATACACATTTTATTGAAGATTTAGCTTTAATGATAGATACCTTAGAAGAATTTTCAATACTATCCAATGCGCTACAATCAAGAAAAATTACCATATCTAAAGCTGATCAATTAATTAAGCGCCCAATAAGAGCTATAGAACTACACAAGAATGATAATTTTGGTATCTATGAAAAAAAAGTTCAAAATTTAATTTCATCAAATGAGTTCAAATGCATACCATTTGATTACAATAATAAATTTGTGTCTCTTTCTAGAGAGCAATTATTAGATAGTGTGGCAAAGAATATGAAAGCAAGACTTTTATCGGCTAGTCATATAAATATGGATGAGGATAAGAATGAGAACAATGACACTGATAACTATAAAAAATGTGTGCAGCTTTTTGAGATTTTAGATCCTTCTACCTGGTCATTAGGTAAAATTATGTCACCATTGCTAGAGGGTGAATATATAGTTAGAAAATTATGTGAAATTTTAAAGTTTAAAGTAGATGTTAATGATTTTCGTGACTTTGTAGATGCAAAGATACAGCTGAAAAATGTTCAGTTATCTAATTCAATTTTAAGGGCTAAAAAAATATCAAGCACAATTGCTATTAGCAGTTCAGAAGCTAAGAGAGGTTTTAGCTTTATGAATTTAATTGCATCAAAATTAAGAACCAGCCTTACTGCGGAACATTTATACAATCTAATGACAGTAAATTTATTGAGGAAACCAATAGCAAATTTCGGTGCCATTTCTTTTGTTACATCTTGGATGAACCAGAATCACAGGTTAGCAACTGAAACAAGGGTATAAAGAGAGCACAATAATGATGTTTCTGCAAATGAACAAGACATATGGACTCTACATTAATTAATTAGGCATATACATAGCGTAGTATGTTAAATTTGGAACTTATCAGTTTTATTGTGCAATAGATATTTTTTTTAGTTATTTTGTGCAATAAATGTTTTGTTTTGTTATATATATTTTATACTGTACAAAAATTAATGAAGGGGATGTACGCATTTATCGTTTTTTTTTTTTTAAATAATAGCGAGCCGGTTGTTTAAAATTTGGCAGCCCACCTCTGCCTGTGCAGCTATTTCAAAAACTTCAAATCTTAGGCCTTGCTAAGAAGCATTTCCCTAATTGAGTTTTATGTACGTATTCACGATTTCACGTACGCGTTTCGCAAAAACTTTTTTCAATAAGTTTATTTTAAACAGTCTTTTAAAACAGATTAAGCGGAAAACATTAAACTGTAATTAATTGTTGTAAAAAACATTTGTGCAATTTTTTTTTATTAGATAAAAAACAGATAGATACCTTTTTTCTATTTTCTGTATAAAAAAAAAATATTTAAAATTTATTTTATTAAATTTGAATTAATTTTATTATTATTCATAGTTTTAGCAATTTATTTGATTAAATTTAATAAAAATTCTTTTAAAAATTTAAAAACGCTGTTTTACAATTTTTTTTACTGATAAAATTTCCAAAATTTTTGTTAAAGTAAAAAAAAATTTAATAAATTTAATTCAAGTAACTTTAAAATGTTTGCATTACATATAACTTCATTTTAATTTCACTTAAGTTTCATGTAAGTTCCAGTTCCAAATACTGGTCTAAATAATGCGCTTTTGTAGTTAATAAATGACGTCATACAAAAAAGTTCTTTCAAACTCAAGTTTAAATGTTGTTTGGGTTTTCCCTTTGCCGTTAAGTTTTACACAGCAGAATTTTTTTGAAAAAAATGAACTAAACTTTAAACTGATTAAAAATAACGCAATCAATAAACTCTTTAAAAGCCTAACTTATATGTATTTTGTTTTAAAAACAAAACTAATACTAGTGGTATAGATATAAGATACGTAAATTTTAAAATTATACTGATATTTGTTAAAAACAAGTTCTGCTAATAACATCTTATAACCGAAAATACTATTTTTCTTTTGAATTTAGTTAGAAATAGTAAAAATACTTTAGGTTTCATGGTACATAAAAATTAAATATTTTAATGGAAATAAAAAAAACAAAACTGAAAAGCGGTAATCTTCGTTTAATTACAATTTTTAATTTAATCAAAAGCCAGTTAACGCAAAGGTTTTTTAAAAATGGGAAAACCCAATTTAACTGTGTAGATGTACACATAAATCTCTTGAAAAAAATCAACCATAAACAAGTGTCCACTCATTTAAAAAAAATAACCGTAAAAAGAATGTTTTAAAGAAAAAAAATTAAGTTTAAAATTTAAACTGTAAATAAGTATAAGATTTTAAAACAAATAAATTATTTTTTAATCAACATTTAAATTTAATTTATAACTTTTTTTTCTAACGATATTGTTTAATTTAAAGATATTTTGTTTAAAAGACTTACAATAATTTCTAATGTGTTTTTGAATTGAATTACAATGAGGTATTTTAAAATACGCAACTGATGCAATTAAACTTATAACGATGTAAATATCTTTTTTTAATAAAGTTACATTAATTCAGGTTGGGCTTTTCCGTTACGCATCAAAATCTCATAACAAGGCCTGAAATCTATCAAGAAAGTTTGCAGTTAAAGTTTTCATCATGAAAACTTTTACAGCAAACATTTCATATGAAGAAAAAAACAAGAATTTTTATAATTATTGGTTGTATTTTATCACATAAATTATCCTGGCTACCTGAATATAATACAGTGTGAAGCCAATTTGTAAAAAATATAGCATGTTATGTGTATATAAGGTACTGCTTATAATATATTTTTATAACCTATAAACAAAAAACATAGTAATTACCTGAATTTCTATCTTCAAATTTTATATAAACTTTTGCATTAAGTAAAACAATTCTCAACCTTGCAGTCCAATCTGGTTGATCAAGCTTCCAATCAGAAGCGCTAAACAAAATTTTTTGAAAACAATATATACATATATATATATGTAAATACATATATGTAAATATATATATATATATATATATATATATATATATATATATATATATATATATATATATATATATATATATATATATATATATATATATATATATATATATTAATGTCAAAATGTTGACATTAATGATTATATATATATAATCATTAATGTCAAAATGTTGGATGAACCAGAATCACAGGTTAGCAACTGAAACAAGGGTATAAAGAGAGCACAATAATGATGTTTCTGCAAATGAACAAGACATATGGACTCTACATTAATTAATTAGGCATATACATAGCGTAGTATGTTAAATTTGGAACTTATCAGTTTTATTGTGCAATAGATATTTTTTTTAGTTATTTTGTGCAATAAATGTTTTGTTTTGTTATATATATTTTATACTGTACAAAAATTAATGAAGGCGATGTACGCATTTATCGTTTTTTTTTTTTAAATAATAGCGAGCCGGTTGTTTAAAATTTGGCAGCCCACCTCTGCCTGTGCAGCTATTTCAAAAACTTCAAATCTTAGGCCTTGCTAAGAAGCATTTCCCTAATTGAGTTTTATGTACGTATTCACGATTTCACGTACGCGTTTCGCAAAAACTTTTTTCAATAAGTTTATTTTAAACAGTCTTTTAAAACAGATTAAACGGAAAACATTAAACTGTAATTAATTGTTGTAAAAAACATTTGTGCAATTTTTTTTTATTAGATAAAAAACACAACGTGATTTTTGACGTCATTAAATTCTTTTTATTTGCTTTTTATATTTATCGACATTAACTGCACCAATTTACTTAATTACCGCGAAACTAATTTAAATCATTAATGTCAAAATGTTATTATTTAAAAATGTTTTGGAATGTTTCGTTTTTTAAAATGTAAAAACATTTGTTTATTTTCTTGACGTTTGACTAGTGATCCTCAAAATCCCAGGAACTTCAATTTCGGGAATATCGGGAATGAAAAAGCTCATTCCTGGGAATTACTGTTACCGGGAATGAGCTTTCCAGTATTTTTTTTCTTTCTAAAACCTGAAAATTTTTAATCAAAAAACAATACAAAGGACTCAACATTTATGTTGGAATCTACTTTATTAATTTATTTCGGAAATAACATTTAAGAAAAGAAATAGCATCCATGTTCTCGTCACAAAGACGATTGCGAACTTTGCTCACAAGAATATTTGCTTCCGAAAAACGACGTTCTGCAGCTACTGATGTTGCTTGTATTGTATTCAGTCCCTCGAACAGTCTATTCAGAGTTGGTGAGCGTAATTTTGTCTTCGCATACATCTGCATCTCTTTTTTGTAGTCAATAACTTTGCCCGCCTGCTTGTTGGTGACCTCTCTTGAAGCTTTCAAGGCAAGGGTCAGTTTCTCAGCTAAACTTCTTTGAACCTGCTGTGATGTTGATGCTGATGGTTCTTCTTGCTGTTTAGGTTGTTCAACACAATCATCATTTTCAGTACTGAAGAGTCTTTCCATCAATTTCACAGCAAGTTTGCTCATAGCTGCAACAGTCGATGTAGCAAAGTGATTCGGCCCATTAATGCTGGTGATTTCGTGCAAGTAAAGGATGAGTAATTGAAGAACGTCATGTCTGCGTTTGTTGATTTTCACTTTGATAGCCAAGATGTCCTGTGAGAGCTGATGATCATGCATTTCTAGGTTGTCCAAGAGAAACTTGATAGTTGTGTTGCAATCAATGAGATTTACTGATTTCTTTGACAAGAATTGAATTGCCAACTTCGCTGGACTCAGAACTTCTACCAGCTCCTCCAATCTTTTTGAGTCAATATCTGCCCATAAGTAGGTTTTGTCAATCTCCCTGTGGTTCAGAGCTTCCTTCACAGGTCCAAGTAACTTCAAGAACCTTTCGGAAGCATCATGAAGGCTTCCCCAACGAGTCTTTGAATCTATGTTCAGCTTAAGTTCTCTCCCGTTGTTCATCCTCTTAATGAACTTTTGAAGAATTTCATTTTTGACCGATGATTGATGGAAAAGGCTCACAATTTTTCTCAATTTGGTGATCGTTGATTGATAAGCGAAAACCATTTAAAGTGAATCGGCCTCTCTTCATCGTCTGATTCTGTGTCCTCACCGGCATCATGAATATCTTCATCAGGTTCATCTTTATTTCCACACTCAACGAAAAAGACATCGTCGTCGTCATTCACTGGAGTATCTGCTGACTGTTTCTTTAGATAAAGAACCTTGTAACACCCAGATGAATTCCATGATCGCTGCACTGGACGTATTCTGATGCGATCATAGAACCAAATGATACCATAGCGCTCGCACCATCACCAGAAGTGCCAACAATGTGTTTCTCTGGATCCAAACCAAATTCCATCAATCTTGCTTCGAACTGTTAATAAAAAAATTAAAAATTAAATGATTAGAAACCTAAAAAAAGAAAAAGATTATAATATCAACTTACTAGTTTTTTGATGTTAAGAGCAGTTGCACTTCCATAAATCGGAACCATGCCCAAATTGATTTCTTTATCAACACCATTTTCAAAATAATGAAGATTAATGTTCAAGAAACGTCGCCCTGCAGTAGAAGTCCATTCAGCAAGGGTTGTTGAAAAGAAATGTCCTTCAGCTAGATGAGTTTGAATCCACAATTTTATTTTAGCCTTGATGTCTTCATGAAAACCTCGAACAATCTTTGCAACACCAGATCCATTCTTTGGGAAGTTTTTCGTTGGGAACTTCTCTTTCGCATGCTCTGCTATTATATCTGAGTTAACAATCTGTTCAAAGTTCAATCCATTTAAAGCAACTTCTTTAGAAATGGTTTTCTCAAATGATGCTCTAGTAAAATCTGTCATCAGCTTTTGCCTCTTTACTGGAGGATTGCCAGTGCTGCTTGTGCTTGGTTGAGCTTGGTTGCTAGTTGTCGGTGCAGATTTCAATGGATCAAGTATCCGATGAACACGCTTTAGATGTTCTATCAAACCCTTTGTTGAACCTCCAGCACAATTAAGAACAGCACTACACTTTCGATTGCCCAAGTCTACGTCACAGCGTGCTTTATCTTTGTTGCCTGTTTCCCTTTTGAAGTGCTTCCACACAAAAGACATGCTATTTAAAATTAAATGATAAGATATGAAGATAAAATAAATGAAGAAAAAAAGAAAAGAAATAAAAAAAAAGAAAAAGATTTAGAAAAATAAATAACATAATATGTACTATATTTACCTTTGATAATTTGTAGTAAATAACTTTTTCACTTTCTTTTAAAAAAACTTGCACAATGCACTTTACACTTTAAAAAATAACTATAACTAATACCATGGAAGTATAAAACAGATGGAAGTTCAACCGCTTTGAAAATCTTCGGGACTATGCTTGTAACCTTTTGTTTTGCAAACAAAAGAAAACTACATCAAGACTGTACTTAAACGCTTAATTTTTATACGATGACGCAAATAGATACGTTTATTAAAATTTTAAAATAAGTACTTTGACAGTTCGCTATCAATTGCAAAAATTAAAAATGGCGACAACGAAACGGCAACGAGCTATATTTTGTCAAACTTTATGTTAAATGAATGGAGTATATTTAGCATGAATGGAGTTATGATATAAACCCAACGAAACTATAATCTTTAGTTATTTACAGAACAATTTTTTTAATTTTTTAAAAATTTATTAAGTAGTCTATTTAATCAAATGTCGTGTTATGATTAAAAACAAGAAAATCTGCTTTTACTAATATACGCTTTTGAAATATAGTGATTCTAAATATTTACCAAGTTGTAATTAAGGTTCTGTTAGATAATTATAACAAGTAATGGTTAAAACGAAGTGGCATATCTATGGAATATACATTTTTTGATGTTTTGATAAAAATCATTTCAGTGAATTTTTGTTGTTTTTTTGTCCAGTGAAACTCTTTTTTTTTTATTGTCAGTTACGAGCATACTCCCGGGAAGACTTGAAATTGCATTGATGTTTACCGCCTGATGAACTTCCTTCTGTATTATACTTCCATGCTAATACTAATTAATATAATAACTAATTACTAATTAATTTTACGCGTTTTTACCACATTTTTATAAGGTTACTTTCTTGTGCGTCTGCCTGTCTGTCCGTCCGGTTAGAATCTTTAAAGCCTGCTTCCCGACCAGCTAGAGCTCTGAAACTTTCAAGATAGCTCAGAACCTGATGACAATTCAATTTAAAACCATTTCCAAGTTTCTTCAACTAATATTTATCAAAATTTCAACACAATTCAATTTTATATGGAGAAAAAAACAAATACGAGGTCAGCAGTAATAATTAAAGAAGTACGCCAAACTTTAGTTTAGCGTTAATAAAAAGAAATCATTAAGAAAAGTAATTAAAACAAACAGCGTGAAACTGACTTTAGTTTAGCGTAAAAAAAAGAAATCGATAAAAAAAGTAATTTAAAATAAACTACAATAAAAAGAATAAATCTAAAAAATTCCCGGGAATTTCTCGAAAAAAAACGGGAACGGGAATTGACCAACGAGATTCCCGGGAATTACCGTTCCCGGAATTCCTTTGAGGATCACTACGTTTGACACGTTTTGTCTATACTAAACGAATAAAAAACATTATAAAAAAGATTATAAAATATGCTAATACTTGATTTTTTTTTTTTTTCTTAAATATGTAATTTAAAGTTTTTCAAATAATTAATTTTTCTTTTTAAAAAGTCAGCGAGTAATAAACTGGAAATTTTAATATTGTACGATTAAAAACTGTGCAATAGCTAAATTTTTACTAGCGATTTTGTATAATATTTTTTTATTTATTTATTTTTATATATTTTCATAAAGCAGTTGATAATCACAATCACTCGTATTACTAAAAAACTTTAACGAACGTTTTGAATAGATTTATAATGTTTACAAGGAATTTTTTTTGATAAATTTTTGATAAAATGAAATAAAATATAATGTTATAATAAAAATCTTAT